CTCATATAAAGACAAATTGTTTGGGGAATCCAACGCACGGAGTAACCCAAAACCTTTTTTCCAGAGCTGCAACTTTCATCATTTTTCACTTACCCTTGCTATCGTTGTTACGTCTTTGCCGAAATTCGCAATTGTGGCACCACAGTGCTTCGGAAACTGGCTTTATTTCATTTCACTTTTTCAAATGCGTCTCTAATGCGATCACCAGATATACGGAGATCTGTTTTCTTCAATCATGTAAAGTTAAACACCCGGCGAACTTGTGCTCTAGCCTGTAGTTGTAGGTAGGCCGCTGCAAGTAATTTGAAAGATGATTCAACTATTAGCCGACAACAGACCTGGATGTGAGAGAATCAATCCAGTTCTGAACGTAACTGACTTCTCCCCATGCCCGCAGTACTGACAGATTTGCTTTCCTACAATCCACAGCACTGTGATATGTGGTCCCATAGCATTTGGTTTAACTCTTTCGACTAAACTGTCTCTTCTAAACAAAGTTGAAATCTCCGTGCGTTATCATTTGGCAAAAAAATTCAATATCCATCATTGCAACATTTCTGGTTGTTATCAACTTAGTGTGGTAAAAGACGAACTTATTATCTCGTTTAAAGGACGACCATTTCACAGAGCACAACGCTTAACTTCGTTTAATGTTAACTAGAACGTCTGAACTAAACTTGACGTGCGTAAAACCTCAGTGAACAGGAGAACCGACTGAACTCCACACCCGGGGTTTTCCACGTTACCCCTCGAATGGTTTCTGGTATGTTAGGCTAATCTCGATATAAACGGTAGCGCATGACAGACCAAAATGGAATAAATACAGGTTGTATGCCTACGATGGAAACAATAAACAGATATGTTTTAAGACACTTCATGCCTGCACAAGTAAGCCTGATCGATCTGGTAAAGGGTGAAGCTGTACAGGGGTTACCATATCCGATTTTCAGTCGTGGTTCTTACTGGATTCCTAAGAGGACAGCATTACTGGATAAAAACAAAGGTGTTCCCCCATATTCGGTACCTGCTCACGTGCACCGTTCCTAAACTGATAAGTAGTAAGCAAGGGCTCTGAAAACAAGTTCATTTTACCGCCTGGTATAGCGAAATTCAGCAACACNATTTTCAGCCGTGGTTCTTACTGAATCCCTAAGAGGACAGCATCACTGGATGAAAACAAAGGCGTTCCCCCATATTCGGTACCTACTCGCATACACGGTTATTAAACTTATAACCAGTAAGCAAGGGTTTGAAAACAAGTTCATTATGCCGCCTGGTATAGCGAAATTCAGCAACACGGGAATATTATTCCAATGGGCACATCTTTTTCTATTGTTTTGCCCGTACTTCATAAACTGTTTTGGAGTTTGTCTTATGTTTCTTGTGATTCAACGGATAGACTACTTATTGCCATTCAGATTCAGGAATTCATTTTCCACTTCATTTAGGACCGTTCACGCCAACCAGTGCTGCCTTTTGTTCTATCACATATGACTGTTAATAGAACAGCCGTTGTTAGAGCACTAATTATGGTCGTCGGCTTGCTGAGCAGGATAATTTGGCTGCCCACCAGTCAAGATAATATCATCAGTACGTCATAAATGGAATCAAGCATGGCTTGGAAATATGTAGTTTTTATACTTGCATGGGATGATATATGGTCTATTGGACCTTTGAACAATCATCCCTATTGGCTTGCTGATTGCCCTGAATCCTGCTTAGCAGACGTTCGGATGGGCTTAGGACTTCATTTCTTTGCTCCCCTAGCCATAAAATTTTGTTTGCCGCCACAGTGAATCACATTTCTTGGTCTGTTGAGCTGGTGGCCGAGGCTGTTCCAGTGCTACCATTGTGTCTCTTATCTGTTTGGTCGCAGTCAAGGCTTACAGCAGGTTGCGCAGTGGGCACGCTGTCGTTTTTGAGAATCTATAGCGCTAGTTTCCATAATGACTCTCTTACGAGTGTCCCGGATAACCAAAATCCTACAGATTTACAGCAGAATGTAGGTACAAGCACTAGCAGTTGCACACCTATTAATAAGGGACAAGTTATGTCCAAATCCCTGGCAGTTATGAACTCAGTATTATATCCCCATCGCATTGGTCCAAATAATTTTATCTAATCTTGACATCTTTTAACTGATTGGTCTATATCGAAGAGGAAAGTTCTGGACATAAGTTTCACCCGTAATCTGCCCCATCACTCGCGCAACTTCCAGATCTTGCGAATGGCGGAACTCTGCTATGCTAGGTTAGCGTGCCGTTGGTACGCTACAAACACATTCCGGGTGCAACTAATTGCCACCTCTGGAGAGGTGGATATATTTACGTTTGAGCAGTGTTTGTTGACCCTGCGTTCCGGAGCTGTCTTAAAACTCCCGCTTAATGATTCTTCGGTGTCATGTCCTGGATCAAAACTCAGTCGTACTTGAGAAAACTCTCGAACTGGATGTGGTCTATATGCCTGAGAACCCCGACTTCAACTCTGATCGCAACTTAGACCTGGATGATAGCTCCATAGTCTCAGTTCACAAATACACACACAACGTGATATTACACTGCTAATTACGTGAAAATGGGCGGTTCGGAATACTATGGCAGCTGGATCATTGCTGTTGATTGCTATAAGTCAATATCCAATTTCACAGCTCCCGGTCTGGTCAAAACCTCATTGAGTCATCCAGTGAACCAGAGAGTTGCGAGGAGTAGAGTGNTCCAGTGAAACAGAGAGTTGCGAGGAGTAGAGTGTCTCCCGATTTGAAGTTGCCCTCTTAGTGTAATGAGGCTTTCGCGAAAGTCAGTGTTTTTAAATTTTGTTCCTGATGACCGTACGGTCAGTTGTACCAGATAAGTGGACGCACGGCGAGAGAGCTAGTGGCTAGTTTGGAACTCTTGGCAAGTAGGGCAAGCCTAAAAAGTCAATTACGTCTTATGGTCTTTTTCTATCAAACTCATCCAAATGGCGTGTATAAAAATGCCATTTTTCCATTTGGTTCTTTACTAACCGACGCTGATGACGCTCTTTCAGGCCTTTGCACACAAAATTTCCCGGGTGATGTCTTTTGACCGAAGAAGTACACAGATGACCCGATTGCCCGGTTGTTTGAATAGTTTCTGCAATATGTGATGGTCCCAAATAAATTTGGTCCCAAAATGTGTTCTAACGCTCTAGCTTTGAAGAAGAATCCATTTTCTAGCCTTCCGGTCAGCAGTAAAGCACTATGATATGCAGTAGCAGGTGACTGATTAGCAACTTGTAATCACCTGGTTAGATATCATGGCACCATTCTTCCATCAATTAGACTGTTTCAAGTTATGAGTATTGAACCCTTTGCGAACTGTGGGATTTTTCGTGTGTAGACTAACCAATATAAATAGAAAGGAGATTTTGAAGCTTTATTCGAGGCTTTATCCAGCCACCGAGATGAAAGCCCGGAATGTACTCTATAGTTGTTTGGTCCTTGTTGTGCATTATCGCCGATTCGAACATGAATGTTCACTAAAGAGATTTAAACCCGAGAATGTCTGATTGGTAGTTTAGCAATGTACTACTAAGCTGCAACGAGATCATCAGCGGCAAGACTGGCCCATACTACCGCTATCCCTCCTCCTTTAGTGATCACTTATCAAATAAATGGAATGTACAAATTTTGGGGAGAGATACACACAGATTATGTCCTTCGACATTATCAGGCTCCCTCAAAACGCTTGTAAGGCTTGTCAACCTTGCCGAGTAGTACGGATCCTAGCGAAGTCGCGGTTTACTGATACCCGCAAGATCTCCTGTAACTTCTTAGCAAAAGTTACCATCGATGAAGCTGGCTAGTTGGAGAACCTCACTCGTTAAAGCTTGACCAACTAACTACTTCTCCACCTGGTCTAACAAGGCCTTTGTGTCAAAAGTAAAAAGTTGTTTGGCAATAAATCCACTGATTGTTGCCCAAACCGCTCTCATACGATTACCACTTAATATTTTTTGAACTGACATCCTTCGCCGTATCTTCTTGGAATAGATTTCTGTTCGTTATTCTCAACGGCGCAGGAGAACGGACCTTGGACTGCTTCAAGTCGATACCAGTGGGATTTGTCCGTTGCACACCGAAAGCTGACTCGAAGTCACCCTGCATGACACTCGCACGGGTTTGCTTTGTCTTCATCTGATTTATCAGGTACTAGGATTACGTGTGCTCACACTTTGGTCTGTGAAGATTAACTTCAAGAATGGTGAATGATGACGTGAACGCAGTCTGTATTGCAAGTTTTCGTCGTGACTTTAGTATTTATGCCTCAGACTCAGGAAACAATGCTCTTGCAAGCGTTAATTTTACGCTGCCTCCGTACGACCTCATAAGAGTTGTCGAAATGCAGGTCATAGGTGAGAAAACCCGCTCTTTAATTTCAAGCTAAAAGTGTCTCCGTCTTTCAGTCATGAACGACCTTGTTGGAAGTGAGATCTACCTTGTTCTGATGGTAGCAGAGTAAGTACCTTCTCAGATATAGCAGTCCCAAAGGAACATAAAAAGCTCTCCTTACCTATGAGATATTTTCAAGAGAAAGGATAGCATGGTAACAAACCAAATGGAAAGAACATCTCCGGACAGGACTAAAAAAATTTGTACCGACTTACATAGCCAACTAAAATGGGAGGATTTGGTAGAATCCATAGGGCGGTGTTTTTTAAAAACCGGCGCAGATTTTTGTGGCGATAAATGTAATAGTAAAGTCTCGGAGCACGCTGAGTGAATTTAGTAAATGTGTCTAACGCCGATGAACTGCGTACACGTGTATTTCATCTTACCAATTTTAGTGATTATATGTATATCTATATGAATAAACGTGTGTAAAAGTCAAATAGACCATTACGTCCACCGTGAAGACGTGACACCTGTTTACAACCACGGTGCAGCAAGTCAAACAAATCACATTACGAAGTCTCGTGGGTTTGGAGACGAACTGATTTGGACTGGCATAGGATGAATGAAATTACGAAGTAGGTACTTATTCTGCGACATAATCCTCCCGAAACGAGAAGGAATAAATGCTTGAGCCGGAAACAAAGTAAGCTATGTTGGAAACTATTTCTTGCTCTCCATGTGCTACCTTGTAGTTGGAACAAATCAAACTGATAGGTTTTGAATGGGGACGTGTTATTCGGTGAAGGGTTGGTCTATCATGCCCCTGTTGCCAAGTTACATAGGACAGAGATCCAGTGTTGGCGTCAACGACTAACAAACGATCAGCATCAAAGGCCACAATCCGACCCGGTGTCAAATCTGCAAAATCCCAAGACATAACTTGAAGCCATTCACGGGCACTTTGTTTCTTCTCTCCTCCTTCCAGTTGTCTGCCAGGGAAGGAAAACAACCGTCTTGAAGTGCTGGTCACCTGTTCATTTGTTGCCTGAGTTCCATCTGACCGTGGAGTTCGTTGAACGGATGCCCAGCAGAAACGACCAGCGGATTCTTGAGAGACAAAATCCGGTCTGTATGTAGCCACATTATTACCCATTGTTACGGAAAATATCCTCCTTTCGAATCCTTGAGTGAGTTTGCAAAGTTGCGCGGTGGTACAGTCATGGCTGTTTGTGCTCTGCTCCTTAAGTTGTGGGAAAGCAAGAAGTAAACTTCCGTCATGCGTATCGATGGCAACACCAGAATATCTTTGATAAGAATAAACAGGAGTACGTGCCAGATGTTGACCAGCGAGTGAGAACTTGGCGAGCAACCAGCGTTTCTCGGTAGTGTAGTTCTTGGGGTCTACAATAATTCTCACCCATCCAACGATATACATCACGGTTGATTCAGGAGTGGGAGAATAGACGGATAACTCCTGCGGCACAAGGTCACCAATGCCTGGTACATGCAACTGGATATATCCTTTTATTGGACTAAGTTCCCTGCGGCGTAATGTACCATCCAGTTCACACACTTGCGACTCCAGGTGGGCCTTAAGCAAAAACACATAAGGTAGTTCTTCCAGGCATGCATAGAGTGTATGATCGTCAGCAGCAATAGAGGTGATTTTTCGTGTTGTCCCTGTGGATGTTGACATGGGTGTACCTATCCCTTCAACGATACTTCGCACAAGGTCTTCACCACTATACAGAAGCTGTATGGAGTAAAGTTCGTCGAACATTTTTGGCGCAAGGTCGACTTTGGCATCAGTTGCAGAAAGAAGTTCTGCATGTTCACACGTACTTTCATCATTTTTTCGTTCGACTGAGGCTTGAGATGGGATGTACATACTGACGATGGTGTTCAAGCGGTTTCGGAGATTCTGTCCGAAAGGTCGACGCCGAACTTTGTCATCACTGTGAGCGCCATTAGAAGGTAGGCCTTCATACAGTTGTTCCTGCAGCTGCATCTGTTAAGCAAATAAGCAGAAATTCGTAAATACTATGCAGACTCTGACACCCTGTGCCGAGATCAATAGCGATCCAAACACGATCACCCTCACAAGGCCAGTGACAGTTCTAAAATATGTCGATGTATCTCAATCACCCAATCAACGTCGAGGTTTATCAACCAATCAGCAGAGAAATAAGTCACCTTGACTTCACCAATCCAGGATGAGCCGCCGTCTTCAGAAAACTGCCTCGTCCGATGTGTACCGGAAATCAAGGGACAACATCTCCGTGCATGAACTAAAATATTTTCCGTTTGCGACATGGAAACTATTTTGTAAAAAGCGGCTGGGTTTCTTAAATGTACAAATTCGGAGTTCTATCGTTATGAACGCGTATGTTCATGATGATTGATCGAGTTCAGGGTCTCAAGTAACTAGGTTTCAGGACACCAGCTGGCTTCGCTGAAGAGGTGTCTCCGTGTGATGATGAACTAACTCGTCGACTGTAATAACTTGATTTATCGTGGAATTGAAATTCTCGCAATGTGCTGCACATACTTCGAGGACTTCAATTTGGGAGTGTCATAAGCACTTAACGACGAAAAGCTGTTGCATACTTTATTTCACAGCATTAAATAAAAATGACTGTCGAATAAAACAGTGATTGTTGACAAAAACAATCCGTCTCTTTTTTAAAATTTTGTTGCTAGAAAATATGTGATATGTGACCATCCCGTCGGGAAGCTTTGATTTTGCGATTCGTGAGGCCTAGGCCGAAGAGCATTTGCGCCCAGAAATGAGCTCAGTTTTAGGTCACTGACACAGTCACAACCAGCATCGACTCTGCAAAAACATATCGGAATGTGTGACACAGTTCAGGAATATCAGATCATTATCCACATCTTCATGTGCCCATGTGACTTCTTAGGTGTTAGGTTACGGCTAATGAATGGCTCGTGTGGAACCTAACCAGAAGGGCTTTTGTTCCAGCTCGTACCTATTTTCATGTAGATCAGCCTGTTAATCCTACTGGCCAACTGCAGATCCAACGACATTCCGTTGTTCACTCGCTTGAAGAACTTGATCAGACGCCCATATCAAACCATCTAGGACAAGTTTCACCAAAGCTCATTGCAATCCAAAAACAAAAAGTTCATTCTCGTCTGAAAAAAGTATTTCTAAATCAGTAGGAAAAAATGCACTGTAGGAAACGCAAAACTTCCTGAGATGTCACATCCCTAGTTCGAAATACCTCTTAGCTGAATGTCTAATTTTTTAAACCATTCCGTAAAGATAATTGCTTATTAACAAAATGCAACCTGAAATCAAGAAAACTCGAGAGTGAGTCGATCCTCTAGACATTCTTTGAAGAATAAAAAGGTCAAGAAAAGCAAACCAACTTTACACCAAATAAGGTGCTTGTAATTTACTGAGCTTACGAAGTTTTACTTATTGTCCCCTGGACCTCAGTGGTACAGAACCTAACGAAGCAAATTCAATAGATACTCTTATCGCGTGCATCTGTCAGGCAACCACAAAGCAAGCATGTGTATATCCTGATGTCTTTGGGTCCCTTGCTCCGAAAGCTAAACCGCTTGTAAGCAATTTCACCCTAAGTGTGTTAGGGGACCAAAAACCTGGAAGCAGTTAGGGCTAATTTGGCCACCTCAAAGCCAGACGTTAGATAAGCAAACAAACGCTGAGTTCTTAGTAGACGTTAAGCTGACATAGAACAATAAGAAACGGACCTAGTTTGGAGGCAAATGATTGTCTCAAATTCTCGACGAAACACACTACACATGAGATTTCCGAAAAATTTTCCATAGCCAACTACCATTTTCTTCCTAAATGGGACCCATGAGGTTGGCGTAGTTATCGGATCTCCATCAGACTTACTTTCTAATTAAGCATTACGTAATTTGCCTAGAATTTCGCGCTCGAGGCTGACAGGAATGCGAAGGTTACGCTTATCAAACGCCCCCCAAAAAGAGCAAAAACGGTGGTGGTTTATCAAAGAATTTTCGGAAAGTTTACGAGTAGAGTATTCTGTCTAGTAAATACACTTCGGTATTTTGAGCGCCATGCCAATTCCTAAGGCTCTTGGAAACTTTTCGACAGAATAATCTCTTGGTAGGCAGGCTTTGTGCAGCACATCCAATTGAAGATTGCTAAAAAATGACTCAATTGAGTCTCCTGATAACATCAAAGCAATGTGCAAATTAGTGCAGCCAACCGAACATTTTATTCTAGAAAATTCTCTGTGTGTGGGGCTATGACGTCAATTGGGGCAACAGTACGCAGATACTGTTTTTTGTGTGTAAATGGAGGCAGAACATCATGATAATTAAATTTATTTAGATTCCTTCAGTTGGTTTTTCTTTGAAGGTAGAGAATGTTGGTTTAGAAATTACAACTTATCATCAGGCCTCTGCTCCAACTCAGAAACAGTAGACACACTGCACAAAATTAGTTGTGCAAAGAACCTAGTTTTCAGGGAGTACAGCTCGTTCAATCTGTCACACGTTTTACACCGAACTCGGGTAGATAGATTTACGCTTGCTTACTTCCAGGATTTGGGCGGGCGCCTGTCAGAAACCTGGTGCAGTATGGTTTGAGGAAAGTTTCATTTAAATCGGTCACTTCTTACCTTGTTTTATAATTAGACTGAAATTAAACTCCTCGCTGGTCGAAGAATACCATAAACCGGGATTCAGCTGGGTTTCAGGTTAGTTTTCCATGATGACCGAATTGATTTGCAAATGAGCGCTTTTGTTAAACTCGTCTTAATTCGTGTGTTCTCCTCTAATGTCTTCATTGAAATTGATAATTCGCTTAGGCTCGTAAGGTCAAAATCTCCGAGTTTGAGCAAGTCATTCAACTAGCCCAGAAGATCGTTGGCAACACTTTCTAAGTACCTTTCTGCGTTTTTCCACATAGCAAAACAAACCGACAGGTTAAAACATGTGTGACTGAATCAGTGAGAAGAGCTCCTTGAGATAAGACTACTTCAAATAAACCTGAACGATTGCATGGCAGGTGAAGGTTGACGCAGAACATTAACTAAGACACTTCTCCGGGAATGGACTTCTGAGGTAGCACTTGAAAGGGTCTACTTTGTTAGCATCGATTGGTTGGACCAAACGGTCGTGCTGGGTGATCGATTTCTGTAGGAGACTCCGAACAGTGCACCCAGCGGCTTGGAACCTGAAACATTAGCTAGTGCTAAATATACACATCAATTTTCTCCCTTCAAGTTGGCAGCAGAATTCATTAATCGCTTTTAGAAGAGCTAACAATCACCAAAACTTTTCCATTTGTCCGACATGCTTGGCTACGTTCATCCAGACACTTCAGCACCCTCAGCGCTAATTGTCACCATCCCATCTACATGCCAAATCAACGATTATGCTTGCTCTGAGTTCTAGGATCCCGCAGTTCTTCTGCAAACCAGAAGACAGCTGATAAGTTGTGCCATTGATTGCCCTTCTGGGTCTGTAAGCTCCAATTGAGGCACTGAGTGCAAATTTTTTGCCGATTATTACCGCACTTGACGGATATCAGATAATACGAATTCGTGAGCCTGTTTGCTAGTTTACATTTTCTCTGAGGTGGTCGGCCGTTATGGCCATGTGTCGAGTAAACTCTCGAAACATTATCACTGCAGTGTCGGCAAAACCCGACATCTTGCTTTTTAGACAAACTCATAAGATAAAAAGGAACGCAGTGTCCAGTACATTTACCATGTCATTTTGTCCGACATTATAGCCTCTACATTTTTGAAGGTACTACACGTGCTTAGGAGACTGTTATAGCCACGACTATTAGACGCCATTTAACTTTGCGTTGACGTCCACTACAATAGTGCTTGTCACAATCATCAAGCCATCGAGATTTTGTTGAAAGGTACACACTCTGATCAACTGTTATTGTGGTGCGTCAAACTTCAAGCTACATTCAGCCGTTCCTTACCTTACAAAAGCGATGCATGCAGTGGGGGTAGTCTGCAGGTGTCCGCTCAAATATCTGGTGAGGAGGAAGATGGACAGCTGAAGTTCTAGTGGAAGATCTTTAGAGGAACCCACGGTGAGGGTTCTGGCTCGACAAAGCCAGTATGACCGGAGTATGCCGTACGGCCTTGAATGAAGGATCATCTTGAGTTAGAGACCAACCGCTACTGTCCGAACACCTCAAAGTTTTCTGCATTTGTTAGTCACATCCTAAGTAGAACGCATTTCAACTTCAAACATACGCGACTTACAAAACCCATTTTTAACTGTGCTCCTTTAATGAAGGTCGATTATTCTACATACTTCGCAGAAACGTTGCTTTTTCTAAAGAGGTTGTGTGGGTTTCATCTGACAACATTCTAAACTTTGAAAACCATCGGTGTATTTATGTGCAAAGAAGAGCGAATTTTTGGCACACTAACGAGAAGGACGGAGGAATAGTCCGCAAAATTCAGTAGCGATCAAACTTGAAACTGGGTGTTGACTAAAGGCGTTGCTTTGCTAGTGATGATTAAAAATTAACCCCGGGAGACTTCAGATGAAAAAGCATATGAATATGAGTTGGGTTTTGGGGACTTTTGTGCCGAATTCTGGACACTTTGTCTTCTCGTTACCCTCGGGCATATTCTACTGCCTTCGCCTCTCAAACCCGTGTGTCGTATTTTTGGGCAGTTTCCACACTCGACTACTGAAGTCACATATGAGGGCGAAACTCTACATCAAGCAGAACTAAGGGTCTTCTCGTTTGGTGAACTTCATTAGAAGTTCATATCGATTAAGAATGTGAAACATCTGGCCAGCTTCAGCCGACGATTTTCACAGCATGTAATTGCGATCAAATATATTGGCCTAGGCTAAGAAGTTTGTGTCAACGGAGAACAATGGCAATTACAGAAGTTCAGTTCTATTAATTTTCTGGCTCCCAACGGACCGTATGATAGGATAGTTACACCAAATCCCCAGTCTGGTTATTGACCGGCTGAGAAAAGCGGTAAATTATCTCATGTGTATAAGGCATTCATGTGCAAATTGACCTGAGGATAATGCGAGATTCCACTCATTATTTCGTTTCACTTGTTCCTTCACCGAAAAAGCAACATCCATCTCCGGGCTTCATCTGACTAGTCTTAAAAGACCCACATTTGTCTGTGTAATCTTAGGCACAAGTCAATGATAGGTCATTACCAGTTTCAACTTTTCTTGGCACTAATCAGAGAGCAGTCATCAGTAAACTGCAATTTACAATTGAAAAAATGCGTAAGTTTCTCATTTGCATGCTTTTCTGATTTGAGGAGCAAATGAATACGTTAGATTTTGGATCTAGATACTGTGCTAGTCTGCCGAGTTCATAATAGGGCGAAATCGACCTATTGTCGGTGAAACCTGCGGAACCTTATGGTGCTATTTAGTGAGAAGACATTGCCACTTTACAGAGATTTCACCTCACCTGTTCAGAACACTTCTGTTCTTGTTACAAGTATATCAAGCTTTTGACTCCACAGATTAGCGAAGCGGAATTGAATCAGAGCTAGAGTAACCACGGAGACTTCAGCCGGAGTGCTAAAAATCTGCTTTTGGTTGTTACCTGGTTTGATGATAGTGAAACGCAAAGTAGAAATCCTAATATGGGATCGTGAAACCGACTATATGAAATACAGTCTTTCCTAGTGCACCCACTTCCCATGCAGTCTGTGTGTTCAGCAGTTTTTACACCTTACCTTCCGTAAAACAGAAAAGCACTGATCTAAGTCAACCAGTCATTTACGAGGGTAAATACGAGGACATGTTGAGCCTGTCGCTCACTGGCTCTTTAGGTGGTAACTTTTAGTTCTAAAATTATCACTGCAATGTGCTACGCATAGAGTAAGGTCTTGTGTGTGGTATCGAATCGTTCAGCTGTAGCACCCTTCCGGTGCCTACCTGCCATGCCACCAGTAAGAAGCATGAGGTCTGGGATAGTGCCAGGTTGTCCAAGCCTAGACAGGGGAAGTCAAGAGGCAGAGGCCGGGTTCGAACCACGAACCTTTCGGTCAGTAAATTCGCATTCTAACCACTGAGCCTTCAATGTGGTGTATATCAAGTAGAGTGAATCAGGGCGTGTGTATAGTTGCTGACCTCCAAGAAGTCCAAAGCTACCATTTTTATGGGCCTTTTCGGGTAGTCTCTTCAAATTGGAAGTCACTGTCGAATAAAATTGCATTCAATAAGTTGGATGTCGACCAGTTTATTGGGTGCAATTGTACGGGAAAATACGCTGAGTATTCTAAAATACTTTCTAGGCGGGTCGTCTATCTTATTAGTGAGGGACGAGTAAGAAAAGTAACGCAATTTTTCTACACTGAAGTAATATAATTTCACTTGTCCACCCGTGTAACAATGATGAACCAGCATGATTGTCTTCAGATCCCTTCATTAAAGCAAGCAGTGATTCCTTTACTTAGCTAAGCTGGGGCATGAGGCATTAAAGGTAACGACAAGACAATTTTATAGCGGTTAAGTTATGATGAGAGTTCTATAAATATTAAATTACCCTGCATTGCCTCAGTTGTATTACCCTGATGCATATTTCGCTGCGATTTGCCCCAAAAAACTTGCTTGTGCCTGTTTGCATTTTGACCGAATGTGTTACAGTGATCATGGGAATGGCGACTCGGAGTGCCTGGCCTGGTTTCCGAACCCTCGCGCGATTTCGCCCGAACACGGTAAACACGCGATTTTGGACAAAAAGCATGTTGATCTCGTTTGGTTCTTCTGCGTTTCTCAACCTCAATAGCACCATGATTAAACTGAGCGTCTGGTTTTAACGAATTTTTGGGGTGATTCAACAATATGGAGTACACATTTGAAGAACGGACTCTTTGGAATTCATGTTTCTAGGTTTTCTTGTGGTCAATTTCTTGAGAAAGTTGAGGTAATAAATAATAAATAAATAATAAATAATAATAAATAATGAGTTGAGGTAATAAACGCGTCCGATGATGTTGTTCGGCAGATGAACCCTGGGTATGAGAACAGAACCAAAACACAGTTGAACCTCGAACAAACTACCCGGAATTTGGCAAGCTTAATCAATGCGAATCGTTATCAGACGTACCTGATGATACGTGACACATGAACGACGTGTAATGTGTCTACGGCTAGCATCTTCTGGCATCCGAAACCCAGTTTCTAACAGTTTGTCAACTAATTAAGGTGCTAAATACAAGCCGTAGTCCTCGATTCGATTACTTCGGTTTCTTGATGAAACCGATGATGATGAAACTTCTGTCAGGGCACTGCGACACCGTTTCTGAGGTCCCACCAGATATGTGCAGTTGTTAGAAGTGCGAAATAAGACTAGAAGTGATGAGTAATCCATTCCAACCAGTTTAGAAAATGAAAACTTCCTAATGTAATCCTGCCTGCTTTTGTGCTCTGAAATTTAGTTGGGTAGCAATAGCGAAAACCATTGGGTAGCCCCCGCTGTTAACATCTCACTCTGACGTGACACTTAGTTTCGTGTAGTTCGATGTTGTTATGGGGTGTACGCACCTTGTTCTTGGTGGTCGCCTCCAATAACAGAGGACTAGTTTTGGTAAGTTGCAACCATTTCTGAATCTTTCCACTCCCTACCGTGGCATTCTTTCCTCAAGGCTGCAGGGTAGTAAGGCAACAGTATTTTCTGAGGGTGTACTGCTGTTGATGAAAACGACCATGACAACTATGGTGGCTACCTATACCTCCATTCCCGGAAACCATTCAGAGTGACACGTTGATACAAATCCTCCGAACATCAAGGTAAATATGTGGGCTTTCTATAAAGATATATTATTATTGTCATCTTGGGCTTAAGGACCTTTGTTGAGTCTGTTTTTGCACGCTATTAAAGTTCTTCACACTCACAGATATGGAGCAAACACTGCAAGATGAAAGTTCTAACTGTTTCAGCACCGTTTAAATTTACTTTACTCAAATGGAATGGGTATTGGAAGAGATTGGGCTGCACCGTACCCCCATATGTTTAACAAGAAAAAACACCTAATGATGCAATTTAGGACATGTCACCCTGACCGCTTCTGGACGAAATACCACAAGCATCGTGCCAGATTAGTATAAAAAGTTCTTTGCTACATGACGAAGAAAATCAGACACACTCAATGTGCCAGATCGTTTTGCTTGACACATGACAATCGGAGTTCGACTGTTTACGAATAAATATCTACCCTTTCTCCATGCACCAGTTGAACTGGATTTTTTAGTGCGCCTTTGAATAATCATGTCTTTGGGGACTATGGAGACCTGTCTTGTCTGTTGGTAGTGTAGGAGATTTGGGGATTTTTGTGGGATTTCGTCCTGTAAGTGAAGTCAGTCTATAGCCGAGAAGCATTGTACAGCTGTTTCATCCTTATTGGGAATCATCAGCAGTGCGCATCTCACGAAACTCCGAAGAGTCTCGAACCCGCGACCTTCTGGCTAGTAGCTTGAACACTTGACCGTTCGGCCACGAGTGGCTGATCAGCAAGCAATGTGATTAACTCGCACTTAGGATATAGCGCCGCTCATCCTTCAATCACGGGATCCACGTCACGCGGTCACACGTGTTGACTGGCTCCTCGAGCAACGACTTCTCAGATAGAAGTTTCACTCATCGGGTTTTGCTTTCCCGGAACTTGGTAGCACTGTGTTCTTTTCGAACCAAAGGTCAACAGATTCCTTACGAATCACCAATCCATTTGGCCACTATGGCACGGTGGCTAGGCTTGTATTTGAACGAAACTGTGGCAGCTACAACCAGTGTACGATCAGTACGCGGTTCTTACAGCTGACAATGATGATGATGATGATAATGATGTTAAACTGATTACGCTTGGCCCTTGGTGTCTTACACCTCATGCTGTTGGTACGGTCTACCCAACTAGGCACTGCATCGAAAATTGCACCATCCTTCAAACTCGCAGCTTCTAATTCGAATATGCCAATTTCGAGCGGGCAGGTTGAGAAGGTCATCGATCATTTGGAAACGCCGGGAATGTTTTGAATTTCCCGTTTCCAATCTGTAAAAGGTGGTTTTTTGGGACGACAACCTATTCAGGAAAGAAGAGCTTCGTGTACCCAGCAAGTGGATGTTTTCAAGTTCCAAAAAGCTTTTGCCATAAGTTATAGATGAATAGGATCCAAATACACAAAATGAGGAAGGCCGCTATTCTTTTCAAATCGAACTTTTCTCGTAGATATACATACTGATTTACCAAGTGACCAGTACTCTGTTCGACAACTCATCCTTTCAGGGTATCGCTGTTAGACTTTGCACGAAAAGCCTTGAAAATGCATCTAGAAACCTGCTTTGCGCTCCTGGAGAACCGTTCATTATTAAAACGACTGGTTGAGGGGCTAGATGGCTCAAGTGGTTAGAGCACTAATTTACTGACCGGAAGTTCGTGGTTCGAACTTGACCTCCGCCTCGCGACTTCTCATGTCTAGGCTTGGGCAACCTAGCAGTATCTCCGTCCCCGTGCTTACTTCGGGTGGCATCGCAGCTAGGCACCGGAAAGGTACTATAGCCCGACGAAAACGGTTGATGGTCTACAACACACAGCTTAGCCATCTGACTTGAGAGAACGGGATGACACACGTGCTCATGTCAGGCATACGTCAAATTGATGATCAATAACTCCAGAAACCTTTGATCATGAATACGTACCACCTAGGAGAGCAGGCTCCAGGATTTTTTGACCCTTTATTTCACTTAATTAAAGCAAGCTTTGCCCAGAAACCGGACATTTCATCCAAAATACATTGCAGAAAACTTCGCACACGAAGTCGCTTGCTTGCATCAGTAAGCAATAGCGACCACGTATATATGCAGCTGTAAGTCCCCAATTTAGCGACTTCAAATTCGCATACACTATATCATTTGCATTATCAGCACACGCTCTTGAGCTATTCTGTATAGCCACCAAAGGTCAAGTAATCTGATGATACAAATACGGTATATCTATTCCGTTAACGCGCACAAACCTCTCGCTCAGCTAGAACTTTCTTCTCATTTCGTTGGCATTGATTGCCGATTTGTTGATCACAAGGACTTTGGCTAGCATGTTTCTCCGTGTGTTGGAATCACTCATCGACGGTACTGCTATAGCCAACCTGAGCAGTCACCTGTGATGCTCAAACTAATCTGGAAAGCAGTGCTTTGCCAATGAGATGGCCTTAGAATAATCTAAGAAGGATGCACGTTAGCCGGTAGGCACTGATGGTTCGCTCGAACAATAAGAAAAGAGGAAATAGTGGTAACGGTTAATTGTCAAAAAGTGGCCGATTTGCGGCCTTTAGTTTGTCATGTTAAGCAGAGTCTTCCCCGAATGAAAAACTGAGAAAACTCTTATACTTGTACTACCCTTGTATCCTTATATCATTGCATCAGTGACAGTTAGCGGCTGGGGAACTCTCTAGAGACTTGAATCCACTAGGGTCGCAAGAAAAGACCTACGGTCTGATGACAAGGATGTGGATCCCTTGACAGAACACACTACTCATTAAGTCGCTGAATAATCTTGGACAGTTCACTATTGGTCTCGCCCTTTCTGTGACTCATCAGGAAGTTGTGGTCCCTGAGTTTCCATCGATTAACCTCACGTCTCACCTGAACACCAAATTTCGCGCATTTTTATGAAACATCCTCATTTGCAAACTACATTACTGTTAACAAGCGACTCATTTGTGTCATTCTTCAGCTGAATATGCTATGCAAAAGCACCGCACGAGTAATACTTTTCGTTGAGAAAACTACTGTGCGATACGCAGAATATCGTGCCAACTGATGAATTAAGCGGTCTTTGTGTAGCGCATCTAGCTGGAGAATGGCACAACAACTAATTGACTGTGATACAACCGGGCTTGACAAGTAAATCGGTATATGACATCTGGTCTGTACTGAATTCGAACTACGCTGCACTCCAAGCCTGTGAAATTCGTGCCGCCTCTATGCGGGAGTAGCTGGTGCCTAAACAGTGGATGGTCTAAATTAGCGAGACAGTTCCGAACAATGGCCGCAAGTGCGCCGTTTCGTAGACATTGTTCACGTGGTGCCGTTGCTGCCATCTGTCAAGTTCTACGTTGTCATGACCACAGATAATCCACTTTGGAAGTGGATCAGAGTGCAGTTGGAATGGCTAAAATAAACTTCAACCCACCAAGTAGATCGTATGATTTGATAATGAGAGCTACAGAACTGAAGAACAAAATTATTGACGATTTAGAAGACTTGACGGTGTTTGAATTTGACAGGAGCAAAATGATCGCTATTTGTAAACGAAATCTTTCCATATTTTGTCTAGTCTTCTTAATTTTCTACTGTTGCAGAAAACCCCATTTTTATACGCACAACCCACGCTTTGTTTCGTCAACGTCGACTGGCTTGAATGGTCTTCAGTAGTTAGTTCATGGCCCTAATTTTAACTGGAATTAGTGGACTACATAGGGTGGGCAGTAAAGTTGTCAACCATTTTCTTCGATTCTAGGTACTTTTGACACGCGAGGAGGGTGACGCTGTCCGTACACAGTACACGATATTTTTCCAAATCTGACAGGTATTGTGCAGCTGCTGGTACGCGTTTGGCCTTGGTCTATCGATAGATTTCAATGACTATTTCCATATCTCCGTATATTTGAACAGATTGCGGCTCCAATACACAAGGTCTCGGGTCAACAATCTATTTGGATTGCTAAAAGAACGAATGAAGTGTGAATGCATGGAGATAGGATAAAGTTAACAAAGGAATCTTTTCACGTGACCTCAGACGTGTGCGGAGTGGACAGGGCAGGTAATGAGAGAAATGTCTCATATTCATGTCAGCGCCTCGTGACAACGTTCTTCACGTGGTTTCACCTGCGGCGTGTTCGTAAATTACGACATATTTGACTTTTGTCTGAAGTGAGCCCATCACGGTATCGAGGTTGATCGGTCCCAATCTATGGTAGCATTTTTCAGCAATCTACATACCTATGGTAATGTCACACAAATCGGGAGGAACTGTGGGAGCTTCTCATTTCATTTTGACGGTTTGAACATTTTCCTGTCACAATTAAGCTCTCGCCTTATTTTACTTACTTGGTGAGGTATCACACGACGGTATATCTCACACGGAATTTCCGGGGAGAAGAACATCCTAACGAAGTGTGACGTCTCCTTAAGTCTTTGAAGGGCGTGCAAATGAAGACCTAATGCAATTCTCACCAACAAAAGTAAGTTTTCTATGGAGGGAAATGTTGGTAGCTCAGGTAGGGTAGATGGTCGTTGGCTTGTTCGCTGAGCTGGGCAATTTGATTGCAAACGTTTCATCACCAATCGAGGTGACATCATCAGTGCGCTCCCCATTAACGCACTGATGATGTCACCTCACCACACAATCAAATTGCCCAGCTCAGCGAACAAACCAACGAACAAAAGTAATTTCTTCGTGGAGATTTCGTCTTGTAAGTGAAACCAATGTATGCTGAAAAACCGAGAAGCACTGTACAACTCTTTCATCCCTATTGGAAATGATCAACGGTACTCATCTCACAAAACTCCGAAAAGTCTCGAACCCACGACCTCCAGGCTAGTACTTTGAACACTTAACCGTTCGGCCACGACTGGCTGATCAGCAGTGTGATTAGCTCGCAGTTAGGAAAGATATAACGCCTCTCATCCTTGAATCACAGGATCCACATCACGCGGTCACACAACATTAGTCGACAGAAGAGACCTTTTGTCTGCCCACAATTGTTTTGTGACGTTCTCTCAACAAGTTCCTTCCCCTGCACTCAGCTGCATAAATGCTCATAATTATCTGCATTAAAACTCAGTTACTTCGGCCAAGTACACTGTGACCTCCTGAGGGCGTACGCAATTCAAAAAATTCAGCTTACCGATAGCCACTGATAGGGTTCAAGTGATCGTATTTGGGCGGAAATCCCACCAATTGTTGTCTTAGGAGACACATCACCACTTGCAGTTTTGCGCATGGAATGAATGTGGTGGGCTAGCACTTTTATTCTTTTCCCACAATAAGGGTTTCAAATAAATTCTGTTTGTATGGCATTGATGCATCGGCGTTGAGCACCGATGCTGTGCTGTTGGTAATATTGAGTGAACACTCGAATGGAGTCTAAGGCAACCAACTGTGTGACTGATCGTTGGACATAAGGAGAACTGACAGGTTTGTATGGCGCCTCCACTATTGAGATTCTCCCAGAGGCTGATGGTGGAATGGTTTGCAACGCTCATGTAAAGCTCCAAAGTTAAAACAGTAGATGGAGAAAACCACTCACGGCCTAAGTAAGTTGACATTTTTGGTTGGTCTACACATGTACCATCTGGTTACCAGGACACTGACGAAACTATCTACTACGTTTTCAAGCCGTAAGTACAGATTATGAATTCATTTTAATGAGTGAGCCCGATATGACCAGTTAATACAAGAAGACGGACATCTCAAATTAGGACTCAATTTTCCCCGATCTACTGAAAATTCCAACAGAAATTCTTTCTGATGTATCAAAATGTAGCTCTCCTATAAAGCTTCTAATAAGAAAAAATCGACTGATCACTTCACGACAAGCAGTGTTTTCAACTTACGGGGATTTCTGCAAACTGGCTACCAAGGCGTTGAAAACTAGTACCTGGGGTTCTGGAAAGTCATCAGTATGTCGAGTTAATGACAATATACATAGATTATCACCTGAGACCATGCATACTCAAAGGGAATTTTTATTGCTATACACGGTCGGCTGTCCGCACCGAAACCGCCAGACCCGTAAATATTCGTAATTTCATGTCAAACACTAGGTTTGGCGGAACTAGCTACTTTGAAGAACGCTCACGATATTTGTGAAGTTGAAGTAAATTCATACTTTTAAGATTTCTTACCCACATCTAGCCTACACAGAGAACCGGTAGTCAGTAATAGTAGAACGACCAGATGGTCCCATACGATTTCGCGCTCCTCTGGAATTCGAATACCTCCTAATGTAGTTGTGATATAATCACAGGACCTCCATCCAGATCACTGGGTCGCCTGTGGTGAGCAACGGTTGGCTGAACCACGGTATTTATAAGACAGTCACGTTGGAAACATGGGGATCAATCGAAACGTTACCACCGTCAACTCTAGGTGACTCACAGTGGTTGTAGCTAACATTGTGTTGATCATTTGGTTGTTGGTTTTCGGAGATAGCAATTTTTGTTGTAATCCGTCGCGAAGAGAATGGTTTTTATCGTGTTGCGACGGTTTACGTCCCACCGTAACTCACTGAGCTGGACTGAAGAACATCAGTCACTCCAACCCAGTTCATCTGACAACCACAGTCGCCCGGCCCTCTGGATTTGAGGTTGGAACAAGTGTGGTAACTGTTCCTTTGCTGTCCCACCACTGTCTTGCGGTCAGGCCTTTGAGCCGAAGGTTTTGATCAGCTATCCCAATCGTCCTGCTGTCTAGATTCAAACGCCCTGGCAGTATCTCAGTCCACATGAAGTCATTGTTGCAATAAAATATTTGAAATGATCAGTGTTTGGTCTTGGAGATCATAATGCTTGGGTGATGATGTACAGAATAAACGTTGGTC